TGGTGGTGGTGGTGGTGGTGGTGGTGGTGCGGTCATCAGTTGGGTATTCGGCAGCCGCGCTCCGGAATTAAGTGTTTTTTGTGGAAAAAATAAATGTGTCTGGCCAACTTCAGAGGAACCAACAGACACAATTGTAGTGATTTGGTCTTCATCATCTTCATCCTCCACCCCCGTCATGGTCTCTGCATGGTGCGGCTGGAGGTGTGGTGACCGCTCTCCTCCTTCTCACTTTCAGGCCAATCTTTGTTTCGTGGATATCGACAACCATTTCATTGAGCTTCCGGAGGACCTCCCTCAGTTCCCCAACAAACTGGAGTTCATCCAGGAGGTCTCCGAGGTCCTCCTGTCCTTCGGCATCCCACCGGAGGGGAATCTCCACTGCAGCGAGAGCGTCTCCAAACTCAAGAGCCTCAAAGCCTCCGATCTCGTGTATGACAAGAAGAACGGCAACCTGGGGGGGTCTCCGCTCAACTCCTACCATCTTCTGAAGGAGAACGAGACCCTGGCACGCATCCAGGCCTTGGTGAAGAGGACCGGAGTCAGCCTGGAGAAGGTCAGGAGCCTCCAGCCTCGGTTCTCTGTGTATTGTACATGTGAATAGATAACGAGGGGACATGGGATCCGCCTAACGTAGCTTCACCATGCTGGCCGTTATATATGGACCTCCCGACCTCCATATTCTCTAAGTCCCTATCCAAGAACATGCAGATCTGTAAACTTGGAGGTCCTTTATCTGCATGACACCGAGACCAGCAGCATTTGCTAGATGAGACATTCTCAGTGGCAGCCTCCAGTCCAATGTAACCTTTTATTCTTAATTGGTTTATGTTATTATCTTACAAAGCCTTGCAGTCTTTAATCACGTGAAACACCAGCAATGCTCCTGATAGCCATGTGGTCAGAGTAAGCAGTTTCAGGCCAGGAGAGGAGCCGGTACAACTGTGTAAGACTAAAGGGGAGGACGGAGGTCAGATAGAAGACTAAAGGGGAGGACGGAGGTCAGATAGAAGACTGAAGGGAAGGGACGGAGGTCAGATTAAAGACTGGAGGGGAGGACGGAGGTCAGATAGAAGACTGGAGGGGAGGGCGGAGGTCAGATAGAAGACTGGAGGGGAGGGCGGAGGTCAGATAGAAGACTGGAGGGGAGGACGGAGGTCAGATATCAGACTGAAGGGGAGGACGGAGGTCAGATAGAAGACTGGAGGGGAGGACGGAGGTCAGATTTAATTGTTTAAAAGGGGTTCTTCTCCCGGGAATAATGGCGGCTCCAAGTCCTCTCCCCAATGTATGAACATGTTCGCTCCTCCCATCCATGGTGCCTGTTGTATGACGGCCTCCATCCTCCGGCTGCAGGTTGAGGTTCGGGAAGAATCCAGCAGCAAGAAGGACACAAAATTCCAGTGCGAGGAGGAAGAACTCCGAATTCACCAACTCAACATCCACACCCGGGAGGTGTTCACCAATCGCTTCACCCAGATGTTTGCCGACTACGAAGTCTTCGTTATCCAGCCGAGCCAAGACAAGGAGTCCTGGTTCAACAACCGCGAGCAGATGCAGAACTTCGACAAGGTGAGCGGACTCGGCGTTGCCGCTATCACATTGGAGCCTAAAAGTGGATCTGTCAGCGACTCTCCAATAATAAATCCCTGACATCTCCCAATGTACAGACACAGGATCATCGAGGAGAGAAGCTCCGCCTCTTATCATAAAAAAAACACATCCTTGAGCTCCAGTCAGTGACTCTGCCCAGGCTGAGATGATGTCATCAGTCTGCTGCAGGCAGGAGGAAGCATTTCCTCAGTCTTCCCTCCCCCCCCCCAGTGATTAGTCTCCTGCAGGAAAGAGGAAGAAGTGACATCACAAAGGGGGTGTGGCCCGCACTGGGTGACACCATCAGAGGGGGTGACACCAAAATTAATTACAGTCATTTTGGTGTCACCCTCTCTGAAAAGGTCAGCCACTCGGTCATGAACCGAGACAACTGTACGAGAGAGGAGGGGACCCGGCGGCATACCTTATCCCGCCAGATTATTGTCCCTTCCTGTCTTTGCCGGCGTCCATCACCAAGCTGGCTGCAGGTAGGTAAGCACGCGTGATGTCACTATGCGCATGAACGATGACCTCATGCACATCTGTGATGACGTCCCTGCGGGTGACACCAGGCCTGGGGGCACCTCCAGAAGGAAGCATTTCCTCAGTCCCCCCTCCCCCAGTGATCAGTCTGCTGCAAGCAGGAGGAAGCATCTCCTCACTCTCCCCTCCCCCAGTGATCAGTCTGCTGCAAGCAGGAGGAAGCATCTCCTCACTCTCCCCTCCCCCAGTGATCAGTCTGCTGCAAGCAGGAGGAAGCATCTCCTCACTCTCCCCTCCCCCAGTGATCAGTCTGCTGCAGGTAGGAGGAAGCATTTCCTCAGTCTCCCCTCCCTAGCAAGTCACAAGGTGAGAGGCTGCAGCAGGGGATGATCTGTGTCAGACATTTGTGAACAGGCAAGAAGTGCAGGGCACCGGGATTTATATGACTGTGTCATCTCTGAGCCGACATCTCAGTCCAGGAAGTAGATGGTGACCCTGGATGATGCCTGAACAAAGATGGTGCTGTCCTTCTAGAGCGGAAAGCAGAGGAGGGCATTGTCAGAGGAGTACTGTGATCTCCGTGAGGTAATACATGCCTAGAAGTGTTACATTGACTCAGGCTGCAGACATATCTGATGACAGGTCCACTTTAAGCTATTGGATGGTGTGAATCATTCATTGGGGAATCGGCTTTCTGGGAACTCGTGACATCACACCATCCTCTTCCCCCC